ATTTTTTTTTTTTTTTTAACAAAAAAAAAAAAAAAAAAAAAAAATAGACGAAGATAAATTACCATTTCACCAAGTCTACCACCCCATTGACCAATTCGAGTAGAACGTTCTTCACATTGAATATTTGTAAGTTCGTTTGTACTCTCTAAATAACCTTTTAGTTTAGAACTAATTAAACCATTAATTCCTCGATCGGCAAGAAAGTCTATAACTGTAAAAAATATATATATATAAATATATATATAAATATATATATAAATATTTATGTTTATGCAAGATGAAAATTAGAATGAAAAGAGGAAGATACTTACGTGAACGATTGAATTTTTGATAAGTCGGTGCATTAACGTCTTCAGTACAAACGATATCAAGCTCCCTGAATGATAAAAAAAAAAATTTAAAATTAAAGTTGAAGAATTTTAAAATTTAAAATTTAAAATTTAAAAATTGAGAAAAGAACATACATTAATTCTATCCAACCACCAGGTTTAATAACTCTAACAAGTTCTGCAATAACTTCATCTCTCCACTGAGATTCTTCTAAAGCAGAAGACATGAAACGTTGATAAACGAAATCAAAAGTTCCATCAGGAAATGGTAAACCATCCAATAAATTTGCTTGAAGAAAAGTAGCATTAGGAGGTTTTTTCTGTTCCGGAGGAAAAATCGGCGAAATATCAAGGCCAACAAAAATCGCGGAAGGGAAATCACAAGACATCTCCAAGATCCAAGAACCAGGGCCACAACCAACATCAAGAACACAGGCACCAGGTTGTTGTAATATTTGAGTTACAGGAGCAGAGAAATTACCCTGCCAAATATGTCGATAAAGAAAGTGTTGACCTTCTAAACGATCAACTTCACCATTATCATTTGGAAGAAAATATTTGGCATCTGTAACATTGTGAAATCTTCTTCCACCTATGTAACGAAAAGTATCAAGAATACATTCATCACTGTTGTTCTCTATGGAATTATTATTATTGTCGAAATTAGCAAAAGTATCATCTATAGATGCTTGACTCATAGTTGCTTTGGTGTTCGTCATTTTTTGAGTAATTTTAACTTTTTTTTTTTTTTTTTTGGATAGAAGAAAAAAAATCTACACGTTTAAAGAGATATTTAATACTTTAAATTTTGCGCTGAGATTAAAAAGTTTTCTAATTTACAAAGTCTATATTAAAGACAGTATTTATAAGGATAGATAATATAATATGGGTTCGCTCTTAACCGAGAGATCAAAATAAGTTTGTTCATTCGTCTCGTATTTATACAAATCAGGACATATACTTTTTTTCAAATCTATATTTAACTCTATTATTAATAGATCAAGGTTTTCTATTTGAGATTTGCACCATTTAGACTTAACCGTTTAGGTTAATGTCAACAAAGACTTCAAAACAATTGTAAACCATGCATTTAGACAATGGAGTACAAAAGCTTTTTCACGCATAAAAAATATATATAAAAAAAAAAGTATATATATATAAGTATATATAAAATACATATATGTATAATATATATCACTTATATTTCACATAAATATTATATATTTATGCCTGCGTGATTATATCATAAAGTTCGGGCCAATATCCGGATGGACGATGCGTTAATGCATCTAAGTGACACCTTTAGTTTTATTGCTAAACAAAAAGAACGAATAAGAAATCAAAAAAATCATTTAAAAGCAGGGTTATTTTGCATTGTTTTGATGACATGTATCGTTTTGCAGAAATTTTGGCGCAAACTAGTACATTCTTTTTTTTTTTGAACTACCTTAAAAATAACATTGATATTCTTAACAATCGGTCAGAGTATAAATTTGTAAATTTGTTTGTTATTTAAGATTTTTTTTAATTTCCCGCCTTTTTATTGAACGTCTAATACTAAATTTTTTTTTTTTTTCTTTTTTTCTTTAAACATGTTAACGATGTCAACGATGTTAATGATACTGTATTAATAATATTAATGATATTTAATATGATTATTATGTATTATTAATGATATTAATATTGTTTATTAATATTAATATTATTTAAAGATATTATTATTAATTTTATTGTTGACTCTAACATGAATTCTACATGAATTCTACATGACTTTCTACATGATTTTTTTTACATGAATTTCTACATGACTTTCTACATGACTTTTTACAGGACTTTTTACATGAACTTTAACATGACATGAAACCACGTTATAACTGTGTAAGATGTTAACATCAAAAATAATACAATAATCACATGATAATTATTGCAGTTCACAGGTTTTTGTCTCGCGTTTTTTAATCCCTTGCATTACTTTTATCGCTTCTCCAACGATTCGCTCACGTCATTACCAACAAATTTGTTTTAAAATAACATTTCTTTAGGTGGTTGGTGCAATCATTTTTAATATTTGTTTTTTTTCCTTAGACGTCAAGTTAAGGCAATGCAGGGTCACTGCAGAAAATTATGAATGCATGATATTAGTTCACAAGATTATTATGTGAGACAGAAAAAAAATATAATTTCCTGTTCGTTCAAACTGAATCATTTATTCATCGTACAAGAATAACAATTTTATTCTTGTAAAAAAAAAAGATTATTATAAATGCAAAAAGATAATATTGAAAGTTTTTTCTTTTTTGCAAATGTCCCAGACCAAAAAAAGGAACAATGAAATAATTTTGATTCGCACAAAACTTCTGCACACATAAATTATAATATAAATGCATAAATATAATTTTACGCGTTCAAAGTTTGCTGCAAGATCCGACTGGACCCCCATCAAGATCCATATTTCCTAAAAAAACATTACAATTTTGTGTACATAAAATACGAATAACGGATAAATATGTTAAATTTTGACAGTGCATTAACTCCATAAATCTTAATGTAAATAATGTGAAACGTCCGTGATCTGTTGATTTTTGATTTGTGAAGTCGTTGATCATTTGGCTCTTTTGTTCATTTGTGATTTGATGTGGAACAATTTCGAGTTTAATTAATTTCACAAATAATTTTTCAAGTTTTTTTTGTTGATTATGTAACTTTTATTTGGAGTAATGTCGTATGATGTCGTAATGGTTTACCGATAAGTACGTGCGTATGTATGTACGTTCGTACATAAGTATTGTAACCAGTTTTCTGTTATAGTTTTATGGTTCTGCCGCAGTCATAACGTGTGACCAACTAACTGATCCCGTGTAACTTCATTATAGTTATTTGTATAATATTATCCAATCACGTATCATCATCATGCCGTAAGAGTTTTTTTTTTTTTTGGTCAGTTTTTTTTGACATAAATCTTCATTTATCGCTTAAATTTTTTATTTACTAATACTCTTCCGTCTTTTATTGTCTTTTATTTCTTTTATTGTTTCTTAATGTTTTTTACGTCTTTTGTTCAATTTTTTATAAATATTATTTGCTCCTGAAAAAATCTGCTATTATAAATAAGTCTTTTAAATTGGTTTATTTCTTTTGTTTAAAATATTGTATCTTTAATTGCCCCTTATGTTTTAAACAATACTAACGACTTATAGACAGGATTCACGTACTAAAAGTGATCATCGATATATATAATTTTATGATCTTTTATTACTTTACCAAAATGTTAAAAACGTCAATTCTGATTAATAAATCTTAAAAATTTTATATTATCATGAATAGAATTTTATATTAATTTACTTGATTTTTACAATAATTTATTTTTAATTTTTTCTTTGTACAGTCAAACTTCGTCATAGTCACTCTTGATATGAGTGCATGAGAGTGAAAACCGGAACTTATCATAGTAAATCATTATATGCAGATCCAGGTTTTTACTCTCACGCAC